TGGGTTTCTTGACACTCAAGCTTCGACTGGTGGTTCGAGTTTGATGAACCGGGGAGGTGGAGTTTTAACTGGGTTCAATGATTTGAGCTCGAATAGCCAGATGAATGCTCAGAATTTGGGTTCTAATTTACAGTTTTCGACTACCCGTATGCCTCAATTGCTCGAAAACAGTTCAAATTTTTCGGGTTTTCAAGGTTTGGATGATGGTTTAGCCAATGCTTTGTTTCCTAATAGGCCTACGTTACTAAGACCCCTTGAGTCCTTCCCTTCTGTGGGAGCACAGCCAACCCTTTTCCAGAAAAGAGCGGCGCTTCGGAAAAACTTAGCCGATGGTGGAGGGAATTTGGGTGTTTTGGGCTCACAAGGGGGCCTGGTTTTGAATGAAGGCAATGAGAGGAAGAGGGAGATGGGCGTAGAGAATGAGAAGAAGAGGAAAATGAGAGGGGGAGATGATGTTGATGATCTGAGTTTTGATGGTTCGGGTTTGAACTATGATTCGGATGAGTTTACTGAGAACACTAAGGTGGATGACGGTGCCAAGAATGGTGGGAATAGCTCGAATGCGAATAGTACTGTTACCGCTGCTGGAGGTGGAGGAGGAGGAGGAGGGGGTCATAAGGGGAAGAAGAAAGGGTTGCCTGCTAAGAATCTGATGGCTGAGAGGCGCCGCCGGCAGAAGCTCAATGATAGGCTGTACATGCTGAGATCCGTTGTTCCGAAAATCAGCAAAGTAAGAATTATTTTACACAATTTTATCGTGAATTTTAATATGCAATGATATTATGTTTTAGGTGATTAATTACGTCCTCAAAGTTCATAAGCAAATTGTTTTTAGCCTTTTCATTTGTTGAACAAGTAGCATCATTTACGAGGCTCCAAAATACTTCCTTTTCAATTTAAGATGGCATTAATTTCTCTCACATTCAAACTTTTAGCCAATTTAAATGAAAGATTAGTTACTAGTTGCTATTAGAAGGATCTACGAAAAACGTTTTATGATTTGAATGACATTCCGTCGTGTGATATCAGATGGACAGGGCCTCAATCCTTGGGGATGCAATTGAGTACTTGAAGGAACTTCTGCAGAGGATCAACAACCTCCATAATGAATTGGAGTCCATCCCTCCCGGGTCTGCGTTGACACCTACCGGAAATACTTTCCACCCTTTGACACCCACTCCGGCTACTCTGCCAAATCGTATCAAGGAAGAACTTTGCCCCAGCTCATTACCTAGCCCAAATGGCCAACCTGCAAGGGTAACAGCCCCTATGCTTGGAAATTACTTTTTGCTCTTCCTCAATCCAATAGTATAAATTAGATTTTACTCTTAACATCCGGAAACTTTTCTAGTAATTCTACTTTTTGCTATAAGTACGAAAGGAAATGAGTAACTCTCTTCACTTTAGATCATCGTAGTGTTCTGATATTGATCACTATATACAGGTTGAAGTTAGGCAGCGAGAAGGACGAGCAGTGAATATCCACATGTTTTGCGGCCGAAGGCCAGGTCTGTTACTCTCGACCATGAGAACTTTGGATAACCTTGGGTTGGACATCCAGCAAGCTGTCATCAGCTGTTTCAATGGTTTTGCTATGGATGTCTTCCGTGCGGAGGTATCGTTCATTACTCTCATCAGTTCTTTGCACATACAGCACACCACTAACATTATCGTCGCCTAACATTGTTGAGGAGGGTAATGCTCTCCCACCAGACAGTCTAACATGATACGTTATCAGAAATCTTTACACGTAGCCAGTAAGTTAGATGGTTGGATAATGAAGCATTTCTGCTAACTTCTCGATATTTTGCAGCAATGCAAGGAAGGCCAGGACGTCCACCCGGATCAGATAAAGGCAGTACTTCTGGATTTGATCGGGTTCCATGGCATGGTGTAGATTGCAGCAAAACAACCACCTCAAGTTTGATTTAACCAAAGACAGGAAGGAGTCGTGCAATTTGTATGTGTGTTGCCATAGCTGATAGCTCAATTGTGTCGTTCAATCAACTTCTTAATTAGCAGATTTTGAAGGAACATAAACTTTGTAGTTATAGGTTTGCTTTGTACCATTAGCAAATTCAGCTCGATCAGAACTGGATTTACTGAAAAAAATAAAATAATTCTCAGCTTTCTTTTCCTTGTTATTAGATAATTTTGTGACCAGAACTACCCCATAAAATTTAAGAAAAACTAATGAAAATAGCTTGAAAACTTTGAGATTTAACGCTAAGGACAAAATAAAAGATAAAGTGAATAGTACCAGAATTGACTTTTTAGTGTAAAAATGTGGTTTTTCGTTAAAGTGAATAATACCGGGAGCTTTTTGTTAAAGTTCCCTAAAATTTATCCCCTTTACAATAATTGTGCTATTATCGGACCGTGGAGAAATTTTTTGTGTGACTGGAACACGACTCAATACACTAAGTGTCATAATATAATTAGTTGAAATTTTTTTTTTTTTTTTTTACTTTTGAACCAATTGATGTGTTCGTTGCACACTAAAAAATCTCTCTTTGTGGTGAATGGTTTTCTATAAGGTTTTTTAAGGATTGCTTCTATAAAGAAAACAAACACATTACTCATAAGCGTTTTTATTAGATGAATGTCAAATTTTTGTTAAAATTAAAGAGTTTGACAATGAAGAATACATTTTACAACTTTCAAGTTTTGTGTGATTTTAAAATGGGAGACAAATTTTCAAGTTTCTCATATTGGCATGATGAAATTTTCGAAATAGTATCAATTATGCTTTCTTAACTATTTGATCATATGATTCTCTGTTAAAATGATGACGTGTGAGATATTTGATCTATTTTTAAATCTTGTAGAAGCCACACTAATACCGGTCGGACTAATCTATGTGATTGGTTGTGGTTTTGATACATGGATTCGATTAAGGAAAAGTAAAAGTTCCACGATAACTAGTTTAGTTTATAATGCAAGTGTAGCTTCCACGTCAATTCAAAAATAAAATCCATACTTTCCAGGGCAATAATTTAATAAAAAATTACATAAGCAAACTGTTAGACGACATAAATTGGTACGATTCCAAAATCTCGTCTCCGTTTTAAAAATCGCTCCTAACTCGAAGGATATAAAACGTACTTGGCTAAAAAGGCTCTTATGATAACAACAATGTCGAAAGGTTCCGCGCACGAGTGTATCTCGGGTACCCGGAGCCACTATATTCGTCCCCGTACCCATATAATGATCCATAATATAAATGGGCTTGAAAAAGAAATAATTGGGCTTAGAAAAGAAACAATTGGGCTTGAAAAAGAACATTAGTAAGATTGGGCTTAAAATTTTGAATAAATGGGCTTCGTCCAATCCAGATCTTGCTTTGTGGTGACGTAATGTGATTGAATATAAAGGTGACCATGAAAGCAATGAGACCTAAAAATGGTCCCAACCCTACAAATAATATCAAGATGTTGTGAGGTGGGAGATGTTTCTGTTTGGAATATCCTTTTTCCTTGGTCATGGGTCATTGTGAATAGTCATAGCATAGTATGTACGACTAGTATTTCCCTGTCGTATTCGTATATCTTTGCCTCTTATCTTTTCTTACCTTATTTTTGCCATTATTCATATGCTTGGTCACGAAGAACTCCGTGGAGACTATTCTTCTTTCTTAAGATCTTTATTCTCGCTAGTTGGTAACTTCTTGACTTTTTATACGAAAACTGGCCCAATGGGAAAAGTCGTTTTAACGTATTTGTCATGCTATGAAAAAAATGCCTTATCCAACTCCCGGTGTTACATCCTTAGTTACGTTTCGTACGAAAAAGAATTCATTTTTTCTTAACACTGACTTCATTAGCTGTCATCAGATGAGTTCGATTTAATTTATCTCCTTTACGGATCTCAAAAATCAAATTCATCTAATGACTTCATTAGCTGTCATCAGATGAGTTCGATTTAATTTATCTCCTTTACGGATCTCAAAAATCAAATTCATCTAATGATATACAACACAGTGCTATTGATGCCATTCAGACAGTAGACAATCCATTTTTTAGCATCCGAGTCAAACTTTAACAAGTTGGGAGGATTGGGGAAATTATGGCAACGTAGTGGGTGACAAGCGACAACAATGTGTTGTGTGTGACAGTTTTTCTTCAAGTTGGAGGTGTAAAAATTGGCCAAAAGAGAAAAGTTGGGTGGAAACAAAAGTTCAATTTTTGGGGGAAAAAGAAGGGCAAACCCTAATCCAGGAGGGACAGGGAAGAAAACCATAGTGTTGGGACTCTGTAATTTAGGAAAATATTCAAAGATTAACATCAAAAGAGTCAATTAAACACACATTAATTACGTAAAATTGACAGATTCAATGAAGCTTGCTTGGTTTTGAATAGCATTGTCAAAGAGAGGTTGCTTTACACCATGAAATTCGTTAGTTGTGGTAAAAGAAACCTCACGAAACCATACACATTACATATCGTAACAGATAAGCGTCTCAAAATTCCACACCACAACAGAAAACACTTCAATTCCACTTTTTGAAGAAGAAAACACACCCCGGAACTCAACCTTATTGCGCTACATGTGAAGGGACTTGCAACCAAATGAAGCATCCCGGTTCTCCGTCGGCACTTCCCTTACTGTTTCTATGGAGTCTTAACTGGTACAATTCACTTTTAACGTTAGGAACATTTTTGGTCTAAAAAATCACTCATGATACCATTCACTTACAACACTATTTGTCCTTTTGATTAAAACTAAAGTTTTTGGAAACTTTCAGTTAATTTTCCCTTGTTTTTATCCCTCGATTCTCCTTTGAATTATTCAAGCACAGGCTAGGACAAAGAAAAATGCGGATGAAAAAAGAGAGAACACAATTCATTTGGCCACGAAATCCATTGGTTACTTGCAAACTAGGTTGTGCTGCTTGTAAAAATAGCCAAATCTTTACAAAACACAACACGTTCCACAGGAATTCAGCTTTTAACAATGCCGGCTAGACATGCTCGATATTTTACAACATAAACCAACAAAACTGAAAGCAATAAGAAATTTCCTTGACGGAAAAACATCATAACAGCAGATAATCTGTATACTTACATTACAAGGACGGGAAAAAGAGGTCGACGCAGCCTATGTACAAGGTGGAATTGTTTGACAAAAAGCAAGTCCCACGTCAACTTGCTCGAATCAAAAGGTAATACATATTTATCTATATCTATATTATAACCAGATAGCTTCCAAATAAACTAACTGCAGAAATACGTCCAAAACTGGATATATCAAAAGGGTATACATTCGCCATCTATATGCGACTCTCGTCAGCTGAATTTTGAAAGTCAATAGTGAAATGGCTCACACCAACTCCATTACTTCATATATCCGAATAGCTTATAGTAGGGACCCTCACAAGAACACCATGACTATCATCTCGCCCCCAAAACTCTACACGTTTTTCAGTATGATGCATGATGGAAATGGCCAAAGGGGACGTAAAATGGACAACAAAAAGAACATATGATCCAAGGATAATTATATACCTAGTCATATACCCACAAATCTCGAGAACCAGGCTTAACGCTTCTCAGCAGTAGATGCAGATGGAAGTGGTTGACACTTCCCCTCTCTTGCATCCACACCCTCCGCACCTGATGATAGATTATCCTCCCCATGTGCATTCAAGGTCCCAGGGTTCATCTTTTGGACTTCCTCTCTGGTGTAGATGAAAATCTTCCGGACAATGCCACAAAATTCCCTGAACCAAGCATATAAAACCGCTACTTTGTAAACCTCTCAGTCACAAATTTATAAAAAAATCTCTCTTTACTCAACTTGAAGGCAATAAATGACTAATCCTGCAGATTGATAAAAGATAAATACTTACTGCCAGGGATCATCTCCAACAAGCATCATATCACCTTCATCATCAGTATAAACGATCATCCAATTCTTTTTCGGAGACATCAGCTCACCACCAAACTCAAACAACATGTCCAATTCAGCTATCAGCTCCTTGTAGTTGTTGAACTTGGTAAGATCAACAGACCTACCTAGCGCAATACCCTGCTTCTGAACCTGGAGCCAACAGCAATTTATTACGTTCAGCTTTTGATAGGCTTTCGTATTATCAACAGAGCTCCAAATAAAGCCTAAGAAAATAGTCAGGAAGGAGATGTATACCTTAGTACAACTCCTAGTTGAACCACCCTGTGATTTACCCTGAACATCTCTGATATGTTGCTGAGAAGTTTGCAAAGCTGGCTCACTGACAGCCACGAGATTATCTATTGATTTTGAGCCCCTTGATTTTTCAGAATTCAGGTCAGACTCAAAAGTTTGAGCTTGGTTATTACGAGGTGACTCATTCATCATATTTCTGTGTGACAATGCCGGATCTGGTGTTATCAGGGGAATACCAAAAAGCTTGCAGTTTCCATCTTTAGGCTTCACAGCTTCATGTTTGTCTAGTAACATCTGTGGTCTCGGCATGTTGTCCCTTGCATTCCCCGGATTCTCAAAAGGTGATGGAGGTGGTGGAGGCATCATCCAATTTCCATGAGGGAGCTCAATTCTATGCCCATTCACAACAGAATAGTCACCAAACCCACCATATCTAGAATTCCCTTGTGCTTGATGCGACATATTTCCAAGAGGACCTTTCTGATTAGAGTCCAAGCTAAGAGACAGGGGTGATGGTAACATGGACCACGAACGTGCCTGATCCAGTGAATGCTTTCGCATTGAATTAGCAGATGCTACCCCTTGATCGACAAAAGGGGGACAGATACCATGTGAGGAATCAACATTATTCCCAAAGCCTGACAGCAGATCTGTGTAAGTTGGTTCATGCCTCCCTGAGGACATCCAGTTCTCTGAACCATATCTTCTTGAAGCAGATACTACATCAATCTTCTCTTCGTCTATTGACGGTGGCCATGCAACAGATTTCTCAGTAGTATCAGACTCGCTCTCCGCAAAATTGCCTCTCAAGGTCGGGAACTCTTGACCTTGCAAGACCCTTGAAAACCCACCAGGCATCGCAGGGTCAACATTTACTTTTGATGATCCAACTAAAGTAACAGAAGAATATATTATTACTTTTTAGTAGAGCAAGATAGGTAAAAATGTTCTGCATAAAAGAATTTAAGGTATCTAAAAAGATTACAATGTCAATTAGACTGTACCTTCCCTAGTATGGACAGAGGAATCTGGAGATGACGGCACCATGTGTGTTCGAGGTCTTTTTGGCCTGGGCATTGGAAGTGGATTCAGTGCAGGAGGAGCAAGGGCAGGCTCTATTTTCCAAGGTGAAACTCTCTCTGGACGGGGAATAGTAGAGGTTTCATCCCATCTCACCTTTAAGAAACATAAGAAAGTTTGTTTTAGCTTACCCAACAAAAAATAGTCTAAATTGGTGCCCTAAGAAATTCTCCTTACCTTAAGGCATCTCCATTTGGAATCTCGCCACCTTTTGGTGTCAGCATCTTCTGTTCCAATAATGGTGCCAGTAAACCTACAACAAGATAAACTCATTACACTAAACCTACGACAAGATAAACTCGGTACACTTTCAGGTAATTAATATAAACAGAAAGGAGTCATTCAGCATCCATCAAACATACTTCTGCTCTGGAGCTTCTTCACCTTCGAACCTCATCTTAAACCGCATGCCTATAGAATAGTTGTTTTTAACAGACTCCATGTATTGATCAAATGGAACAATGAACTCAGCAGGACTTGTCCTGTAAACAAACAATTGAAACAGTACTTCAAAAACAAAATCGAACTAATCATCAAGATCAAATACTACAAACATTATAAAACACAACTTTCACAGTAAATTTGAAACCTCTAAACTAATTGCTGAGAAATACAAATAATAAAAATAGACCACACCTTGGCTTGTAGTACACAGTGAACATGGTTCCTGTTAAAATGGCATGCCATGCAGTTGCGAGGACACCAAGATGCATACTATGACTGGATATCACAGAAGATGGTACACTGCCTTGCTGTCTCATAGCACGTCTGACGCCAACGCGGAGCTCCCCATTCTCACCCCTAGGAAGTTACACGATGGTCCCATATCAGAACATAAATAAATAAATAACAAATGAACAGCAAGTTTATGGAATCTCAATTTGCGAGAAACCCACTAACCTTAAAAATATAAATGCATCTCCTGCAACAAGCCTCTTGGAGCTAACGAAAACACTCCAACCACTTTGCAGCAAATGCCTCCGTGGTTGACCTGTCATTCCCAACAGCATGTTTATTATGTAAACAATTATACTGCCGAAACTGTCTAGTAAATCTTTCTTTCACTAGTATCAGAAACAATGGTCCTAATACAGTGGTTGGGTAACACCAGAAATGCACAGGAATGCAAAGAAGGTAAGTATCAAAGAAATAGAAGTTACCTCGAAAGATATGGCGAAAGCGCCATTCACTTCCATGCAAGTCTTTGGCAACCAACTCCTGTGTTGGAGGTTGGCGAGACATGTCCTGCCAAAGCACAAGCCAAAAATAGCCACAATAAATCAAATTCAGAAATGAAGAAAAAATGAAAACAACAAACTAAAAGCAATAAAAACTAACCAGCGGTGGAAGGCATTCATCTGCATGCCGCCTTAACACTGAAAATCCACCATGGGTGCTTGTATCAGAAGCAGTTAAGGTCTTGCAAAATGAATGTACTTGAAACCGTGGTGGTGGAGGTGGGGGAGGCTCCTTCTCCACTGCATTCTCATCTTGCTAAAATTTAAAAGAACATCAAACCATCAGAATCTCAACCCATAATCAGTTTTACCCACCCACAAGAAATCAGAATCCTCACGCCAACAACTTACATTTGGTTCGGGAAGTAAAGTGACTTGTGCAAATACTTCATCAGTGTCTGGTTCAGCCTATAATTCAGTAGAAAGAAACTTATTCATTCCAAAAGCTAAATAACTTGAGTACAAAAGAAGCAGCAAAACAATTAAATCCACAATTCTTAGTTTCTTTATAAGATCAACCACCGCACTACCTTCAATGATACATTTATAACCCGGCAAAGAATCTTCGATGGAAGATTATACACTGGCATCTGCTGATCAGCCACCTGATTAGTCGACGCCTCAACCTATTTTCGGACCCAGAAAACACAATTGACAATTTAATACAATGAACGAAAACCCAGAAACACAAAACCTCAGATATATCAGCTAATAAACCCCATACAAAATAAATAAATAAAAAACTCAAATTTCCATGAAACAATGAACATATATTGAACCCAAATGAAGACTAACGAAAAATGGAAGAAAATGAAACTATTTGAAACTATTTGAGTTATGCTGAAACATGGCTGGTGGAATAGAGAAATTGAAAGTCGACCTGCTCGATGTGCCCCTGAGGGAAGTAAAAGACACGTTCCCGTTCACGCGGCACAGTCACGAGCGGCCCTGCGCAGGCGTGCCATAGCTCCGTGTAAAGCGCCGTCTCAGCATCTACACACACCCATCAAAACAAAAGAAAACAATCAACCACAGCACATGGAAAACAGGAGAACCCACAATCTGTCGGCGGAAATGAAACAAAAAGCGGCCGGGGTTTACCCCTCCCGGCGGAAACAGTAGAATGACCGTTCTGCCCCTCGCCGACGGTCCTGGGGTCGTTGTGGTCGCTGAAGCCAGACGAGAAGCTCTCCCCCCTCGGGTTGCCGCAATTATCCTTTATCGAAACCTCCGATGACGTCATTTCTTTAAAGAGCTCAGCACAGATCTCTCATCTGAAACTCTCCGCCGCTGCAATTTCTCAACTTTCACACCCACCCTGAGATCTAAGCAGCCAAAACCCTGAGTCCTGAATCCGCCACAAACTTCCACGCCTCCGCCGCTCTCCGCCTCTCTCTACCTCTGAGACCTCAATCAAAACCCTAACCCAAAAGCTCGAAACAGAAGCAAACAGCTCAAATTTCCACCACTCCAACGCTCTCTCTCTCTTCGTCAGTCCACAGCTCAACGAAAACCCCTTTCGTTTCAGCCGTCGACGCAGAGCTCCGTCAATTCTCAACCAATCCTCTCGATTCGACCGTCAATGTCAGTCTCTATCTCTTCTCTATCTCCCTATGCAACTCACCCCCTCTGTCTCTCTCTCAGCATACAGGAAGCAGCTCCGAGCTTTCTCTCTCCTCTCCTCTTCTCTCTCTCTCTCTATCTACTTTCTCTCTCCTCTATGAGTCGCTGTGTGTCTTAAAAATGAAAGTGCGAAACCCTGAGTGGTCAAAACAGCGTGCAATAATTTTCAACCGCAGTCAATTTCTAACCAAGTCCGGGTGATGACCCGTCGTCTCCGGTGACCTTCCCTTTCCAACCGTCTACACCCGGTCGACGCAAACCCCATACCAGCGACCGCTCCCTTACGTATTGGTTTGTTAGTTTTTTTTATAAAAAGTGGTATAAAAAAAATTGAGCTCAAAAAAATAATTGGTAAATATTTAAAAACAACTTATTTTTATAATTTTAGGTAAAAAAAAGTTAAAAACGTGAAGCAGTAAAAATGAGTTTATTCTCACAGCGCAGAAGTAGTTTTTTTTTTCAAAACAGCAGTACTGCATGTTTCATTAATAAAGGCGACTCTCGGGACAGTACAGAACAACGCTCGCGTTTCGCCGTCCCTAGGTGTCGTTTCCTGATTCGCGCGCTTGAGTGCGTGGTGAGTAACGACGTCGAGTACGGTTTCCAGGTGTTGGGGGACGATTGATGGGGGTGGAGTGAGGAGCAGGTAACGGCGTTAGGAAGTGGAAAAAGTTAATGTATTTATTGGGAAATGGCGTTGTCGTGCTAATAACGGGGCAGGCCTGGATGGATGTAGGAGGGTAGGAGGAGGGGTTGTCTCATAAACCGTGGTTACTTTTTCTTTTTCTCTATTTATTTTTATTTTTTACTCCAAAAATATTTTTACCATGGTAAAAGGTAGAAATTGACCCAATAGGATTCTCTACAAATTCTTTTAATGAAGATCATGAAGATTAGTAAATTGTGTCCATTTATCGTACATTATGCGATCAATTTTATTAAGTACTGTTTGTATTTAATTTTAAATAAAAATATTTAAAATAATTTTTGACTGTATGATGTACAATGAACCAATATGATTCATTGACCCCCGAAATCCTCACAAAGAGAATCCGGATTCGAAATTGACATCTATGACGAAATGTGTGTGTGTATATATATATTATGGAAAGGTTCTTATATTATTCACACAGTTTTAAAAAATGAAAACTAATGAAAATAGCTTGAAAACTTTGAGTTTTAATGATAATGACAAAATAAATGATAAAATGAATAGTATTATGATTGACTTTTTAGTGTAAAAATGTGATTTTTCGTTAAAGTGAACAATATCGAGAGTTTTTCGTTAAAATTCCCTTTTAAAAATTCTCGCTTAGATGCTAAGAGGTTGGCCACCGCCTTACTTAATCACTAGGCATTTGAAAATTAAGAAATGACGCCAAGACCTACTTACCTAGAGCCGCTTAGGTGGCAGAATAGAATTACCTAAGCACCCACTTAAGTCGCGACTGTGACTTAGACAGAAAATAGATAATTTTCATTGTATATTTGAATAAAAATGTAGAAATTAACATGTATGGCGAAATATATGTATATTTTTGGAAGGGTTCTTATACCATTCATTTATATTGGAAGGGTAACTTTTTTGGTTGTTAAACAAAAAAAAAAAAAGTTGTTGTGAACCCTTATAAACGGAGTGTAAAATGGATTTACCGAAAACAACATGAGTGAAATTAAAAAGAATCATCCTCCTTTGAATAAAAAAAAAAAAAAAAATCCTCATATTTTGTTCCCTAGTAGGCAAGCATTTGGACCAATGTGAAAATCTCATGTTAAAGGTGTTATACATGTATCATATTGGTTCATTGAATACGAACCATGTTGATTTGATCTATCGATATTTAGTCTCTATTTTTTCAATAAGACGACTTAAGTTTTAGTTTGATTTAAAGTAGCATTCAACACATATTTCCGTACTTTATACTTTCATCACTACTATTATAAAACCAAGTCATCGTTTGGGGTTACAAAGCTTCATGGAAAATAATTGGACATAAATGCCCATGAAAATTATATGACTTTCAACAATGGTTTGGAAAATCCCCCCAAAGCAATTCACTAACAGTAGGTGGGTTAAGGTTTCGCCCACTTTTTCACCCTATAATTCTTTATTAAAAGAATGACAACCAGTGACAAATTACGGTTATCCACCCCTTTCGGGGACTGGAAGACTCACAGAGGCATTTCAGCCTCCCCTTGATCACAAGTCTGACTTCCACACCAGTAACGGGTTTTTTCACCCTATAATTTTGGCTAAATTGAATTAATATTTCGTGATAAGGAAGTCAGAAAACAGCCTACGTGGTTAAAAACTTGGGATTTAAATCCTTGTGGTGAAAATCGTTAGCAAATTTAATTCAAAAGTGAAAATACCTTACAAAACCAAGACATGATTTTATACCAGCCAATTATCAAATGTTGATGAAAATTCTAGATTAGAAAAATTGAGTACAAATGTGAAAAATAAATTGAACTCTATGGCATACGTAGCGAGCCGGGATTTTTAAAAAAATTCGTACACGCAGAAGTTCATGCAAAAAGGCTATTATTAAGTAGTTTAACAATGATTTGTCTACGTTACTTAGTATTACTTGTAGGCATATATCTAAAATTGAAAAATGTGAATAACTCGATACTAATTTATTCTGCCGTCCTTTTCCGTAATAATGGCTCAGAAGGGTTTAGGGAGAAAGGTATTTTTGTGGTTATGGAGGGCGAGTCACGTGTTGGTGGAAAGGTTGAAGGAGGTAGGGCGTACCAGAGGAGTAGAGATTGGGGTACAAAGCGAGTGTGGGCCCACGTGCATTGTCCAGTAGCAGGTGTGTATGGTCTAAGCCAACGAATGTAACCTGCTTTTATGTTAATAGTGCTTAATGTTATTTATTCAAACTTCAATAAAGATGTTTCTTCAATCCTGAAGAACAACTCTTAGAGTTTCGAGTATTCGGTGGAGTGGTATCTTTAAAGAATTCTTAGTATTTTTTGGACACACGAGTCCAACACACATTCACTTGTTTGAAAACTATCCCTCACACTATCTTCTGAGACCCATCTATAAGCCCTGCAAAGAGCTTCATCTTCTTTTCGGGTCCAAGCCTTACCTTTCATTGCAAATGAGACCATTTGAAAATTATTGAAAAAATTGAAGGAAAGATTATTGGAAGAGGTAAGAAAATATGAGAATTGAAATGGTGAAAATTTTGTGACAAATGGTGTAGGAATGACTAGGTATTTATAGAAAAAAAATAAGAATTTTTTCTAATTTATTTTTAAAATTTGGCCCAAAAAAAAATTAAAATCCAACGGTAACTGACTTCAGCTAGCCGTTGTGTTTGAAATTGTGACCCCGCCCAGGTTGGCTGGCTAGATCCTTTAGGCTGATCGGTTGGCCCTTTGGCCTTTTTTGTCTAGTGGGCCCACAAGCCCTTTGGCCTGGTTCTCGGTTAGAGACGATTTTCAGGTTATTTTCGATCATCTGGCCCTCTGGACCATTCGGTTAGAGATGACCTTAGTGAGGATCCTCGAGCTACGAATGAGAATCCTCTTTGTGTTTGTGAGGATCTCAGAGATCTACCAATCACTTCCATTTATCATACATTGTGCGGTTAGAAATCATTATAATTTTTTTATTTAAAAGTGAATATAAACAGTACCTAACGAAAATTGGTCACACGATGTGCGATGAACGGACGTGAATGGAGGATCCTCATTCTAAAGCAACAACCGGAGGAATCGCAAGCTTTGTCCTGGAAAAGGTTGATATCCTATTCCGGTTCAATAATTAAAAAAATCGAAACATTTTACTTTTATTTTATGAGTAATGTTACAATTATTACGTTTTTTTATCATATTTCTAATAAAAATAGGACCTGCCAACATATGTATGTTTCATCTCTATTAAAAAGATGAAACAAGTATGTAGTAACATAACATTTTTGTTATTTTACTCGCTAACAATTTCAATCTCAATTTTTAGGGACACAAAAATCCATTAAACAATTCGCCCAAGAAAAAGAAAGAAAAAAAAAAACCTACAATGCAAAGGTTCCTTCTTGACATTCCCTTTCCCTTCAACCTTTTTCTCCAACGAAATTTTTGGGCTATTCAAGCATCTCTCATGTTCGGTGGTTATGGTTTGGAAAGAATCATTCGGTGTTATGAAGTGTGAATGACGAATGATACGTTTGGAACTGCTTCAGTAAGTAACACATAAAATTATAAATGTTTTTTATTTAAATAATAATGCTATGAATAAAATACATATTAATAAGAGATTTAGAGCTTGTTTAGATGTGTCTTTAAAATGACTGAAAATACTTTTGGTAAAAGTATTTTTGGAAATAATCCTAAGTAAAAATGCAAGTAAAAAATCTTGAAAAAACACTTAAAGTGCTTCCTCGAATAAGCACATAAATGGTGCTTCTTGTAGAAAGCACTTCAAGTGCTTATGGACCCAAAAATATTTTCTTCAAAAACGCTTTCAGTCATTTTAAAAGTACATCCAAACGAGCCCTTATACAAAAGTAGTTGGGAAAAACATTTGCTTCTCCAAAGAGCCTTCTACGACCTATTAGCACTTAAAAATTCCATCTGTTCAAAAATTTAGCAAGCTCTACTCAAGTGTACGAATGAGATTACCGAAATGGTACATAGACTATAGACTCGTTTGAAAGTGCTTTTAAAATGACTAAAATACTTTTAAAATCAATCTTTAGTAAAAATTCAAGTAAATTCTTAAAAAACATTTTTAGGAACCTAAACTTTAATCAAAAGTATTTCCAGTCATTTTAAGAACACTTCCAAACAAATCATACACGTTGGATTGTCCATGTAAAGAAAAAAAAGAACTCTATGTCACACTAATTTATTGGAAATTAAGAATGTCACATTCCGGCCCGGGGGGGACCACTTCCTGGGCCCGCTCCACCACTGTAGCACGATATTGTCCGCTTTGGGCCCCGACCACGCCCTCACGGTTTTGTTTCTGGGAACTCAGACGAGAACTTCCCAATGGGTCACCTATCCTGGGAATGCTCTCGCGCGCTACTCGCTTAACTTCGGAGTTCCCACGAAACCTGAAGCCAGTGAGCTCTCAAAAGGCCTCGTGCTAGGTAGAGATGAGAATATATATATATA